ACCACCGGGAGGATGAACACGATCTCTAATCTGGTCAATTTCACTTGCGAGCATTGACGATCTTGATGAAATCGGGTTTCAGAGATGCACCTCCTACGAGGAATCCATCAATGTCAGGCTTCTTTCCTAATTCTACGCAGTTGCCCGCGGTTACTGATCCTGAAAAATTTGCAATATTGAGCACAAGAAAAGTGAGCACAAGGAACATAGAATATCCACACGTAGGTCCAATGATTTCTCTCAACAATTCAAACGGAGAAACCTTTAAAAGAATCTAATCTAATTCAACTATAGAAAGCATAATATCATAGTGACGTCGCTCAATGAGAAACACTTGTTAACGTTCAAAGTGGTTGCATTATCAAAAAGATAACGGAAAAGCTTCACGAAAAAACCATGCAACACCCACCTCCATAAATGATACGAGTGTTTTGTGCGACATCAGCAGAGACCTTGTCTTTCAAAAATTCACGAATCCAAAGATGAACCTAAAGCAAGATATGAATACATTGGTGAGATAGCAATAAGAGATAGAGTTGACGACTAACAAAAGAGTAGACTATATATCTCAATTTCCAAACAACAAAAGAAAACTAACCTCTTGTGCCTGTTCAGGAGTTGCGGTCTTGCCAGTACCAATAGCCCACACAGGCTCATAGGCAATAACGATGTTTGTCCAGTCAACCTTCTTGTCCACTAAAGCTTGCATTTGGCGGAAGTTTACCTGGATACAGTATATAGTAAACGCCTACTTTAACGATTTAAAAGAGATGAGAAAAAAGGGTTACCTCTTTCGTCTTTCCTGCTTCCCTCTCCTCGAGCTTTTCTCCTACGCAAAAGATAACATTGACTTTAGTCTCGAGAGCATGCACAGTCTTCTCGGCGATGAGCTAAAGGAAAGAATTGTAGTCGCAGTAGTGGTATCTATAAAAATGAGCAAATAACTACCTCATCAGATTCGCCAAAGATGTGGCGTCTCTCGGAGTGACCGAGAATCACCCATTCAATACCCAAGTCTTTGAGCATTTCCGGCGAGATTTCACCGGTAAAAGCACCCTTAGCTACCTAAAAAAAGTTTTTATACATATAAGAAGGGAATAAGAATGAGATTTGCTATATCTAATGTCATTAGATAGTAGATCATTACCTTGTAACAATTCTGCGCAGAAACCTTGACAGAGTTCTTTATTTGATCTTTCACATATGTAAGGTAGGGTGCAGGAGGGGCGACGATAACATCGACATCG